ATTTGGTAGATGAAGCCAAAAACTACCTCCTATTGCCTCAAGAACGACCATTGATGCAGGGACCAAGGACAAGGCCACGGAAGCCAATCCGATGTGGAGAAGTACTCTTTGCAGGTTTGAATCTTAATATACTGTAACTAAGCCAAACATTTTCCCACATGATGTGTATAATCATTTCAGCAATAGTGATAGCTGTTGTCTTAAGAAACTTTCATAATGAGTCAACAGGTAGCTTGACTCTTGACCCATGATCCAAAAAAATACTCTTATTTTATATACATATAAAAATATCATGTAATGGATGTTTTTGGAAAGAGTCATGTATATTACTTTATATACTAATGTGCAGCTCACTTCACAATTTCTTGGGGTTGCCAGAAAATCTTACATTAACATTTACACTTTGTTCTAGCTATGTTGACCTAGGTCGAACTCAAGACAACTTGCTGTGTTATACTATTTTACTCCAACTGTCTGCTCCAAAATCTTTCAATTTCAGATGCTTCCATTCCAGCCATGTAGAATCAGTCATCTGACTACTGACTTTCTCCACTGTTTATTAAAACTTTCAGAGTTGGGGATTTGGCTCCACCGTAGAACACTTGCCTAGCAAACTGGAAGCCTTGGGTTCAGTCCTCAGCCCTAAAAGCAAAAGATAAACCTCTCCTAAAACTTTCCACAGGAAAGGTATCCTCTAATCCAAAACTCAAAAGTGCCCCAAAGTCTTGTTATAAGTATGCTTTGGATTTTGAAGTATTTCACATTTTAGATTTTCAAATTAAACATGCTTAGCTAATAAAAAAAATAAACTATGCAAGTACTCCAGAATTTGAGAAAACTCCAAAATATGAACCACTTCTCACCCCAAGCATTTCATGTAAGGGATATTCATTGTGTTCCAGTTTGTTTAGATTCCTTATTCATGGAGTTATTGGGGACCTACTTTTTGGGGTCAGGGGATACCAGGCATGGAGCTCAGGACCTTTCACCTACAAGGCAGGTTCTCTGCTGCTGAGCTACATCCCTGGCCTGTGGTCTTTCTTTAAGCATTGGAGCTGCATTGATTCCATGTGCTGTAGACATAGGCATCCCTGATTCTACTGTCTTCTCTAGATAAGTGAAATATTCTGTTCCTTCTCCTTGAAGAATTTTATGCAGTCTCTGGGGCATAGTACCCTTTTCATCAGCTTAACTAATAGTTTGTTTTTCTCTTGACATGGGACTATATTGCCCCTCATCTTTTTAGAAGAAAAATTTGGTAATTTATGATTTTAATTCCCTCATAAGTTTTTTCATACAATTTTTCTCATGTAGAAGATGATAGCATTTTTTTTTTTTTTTTTTTTTTTTTTTTTTTTTTTTTTGTATTTTAGGGCAGGGTCTACAGGGTGTTCAGGGTCTCATTACTAGATCGGACTTGTAGTGATCCGCCTGTTTACAGCCTCCCAAGAGTTGAGATTACAGGCATGCGTCACCACGCCCAGTCTCAGTTGCTGTCTCAGTGCGCCCGTGGGGCAGGGCCGGCATGGCAGGCCTAGGGATCGAAACCCTGGCCCCTGCACCTGCTTGCAGGCACTTTAATCTACTTAGCTATTTGGCCAGCCCAATAGCATTTCTTTTTGTTTGTTTTGTTTTTGTTTTTTGTACCTGGAATCAAGCTTAGGACTTGCCAGTCAGGCACTGTGCCACTGAGCTATATCTCTCAACCAGCTTTTTTTTTTTTTTGTTCAGTACTGGGGATCAAACTTAGCATCTTATGCTTGCCAGGCAGGTGCTTATGCCACTGAGCTATCTCCCCAGCCCCCAGAATTTCTTAAAAAAAGAAAATTAGCACACTTTCTTTTCTTTCTAATCATCATTACGCCCTTTTTTTTCTTTTGGAATTTTTCTTTCATTTTGTTTTCAATTTCTATTGTCATGCAGTGAATTCTGTCAGACTTCCAGTGTCCTGACATCTTTTTTTTTTTTTTTTTTTTCTTTTGTGGGCAGCTCAACCTGCCCATAGGGCTAGGCTGGCACAGCATGTAGTGTCAGGGATCTAATCTCATTCCCCTGCACCTACCTAAGCTTGCCTAAGCAGGCACTTTAGACCACTGAGCTATCTCGCCAGCCCCCTGACATCTTGCATTGTTGTTGATTTATCATTTCTGTTGTCATTCTTATGTTACTATTTTCATTCTATCTATGCATGCACATGTATATATTTATGTATTTGTGTGGTTTACACAGACACTTGCATACCTACACACATCACTCCTACATACCAGTCTATATTACCAGATGTTGGTGAATAAACTCATTGTAAGAGTTAAGTTCATATGTAGGCCTATTGAACATTTCTTCACCTTTAAGGGTTGAACTATATAATATTATATTCTAAGGTTCTTTTTTATGTGAAAGTAATTTGTTTTACCAGCTCCTCATTCATGGGAGAATGCTATAAATTACATCAGGACTTGTATTTCCCAGTTTTGAAAATTGGTTAGCTTTCCATCACTGGGACAAAATTCCTACCATATACAACTTAAAGCAGGAAAGATTTATTTGGGCTCAGAATGTCAGAAGATTTAGTTCTTGGCTGACTGGCTATAAGGCAAAAACATCATAGGGCAACAGTGCTGCTTCAGTCATGGCTTCTCAGAAGTCAAGGGGGAGGGGCCAGGCAGCAGCTAGAGTCCTCGAGGTCTTACCCTGGGACCCACCCAGAAGTGTTCTTTACTAATCTAGGTGTCTCATTGATTATCACAAAGGTGAGGACTACAAGTCTAACTGTTTGGTACTTTTGGCTTCATAATACCATACTGGTTCCAGGAATTTATAATAGGCCATCTGTTGGAGGTATGTCCATTATTATGGAAATAATAATTGGCCTGTTTTAGTAAATAGAATAGTTAACTGGGAAAATGAAACATAGGTGAGCCTCCCTGCAAGCAAAAGCCGAAGACCAAGCCCAGTAGGGGTATATATACAAAGTATATTTCAGTTCCAGGGTCTTGTGGGGTACCAATCTAGGGGAAGATCACAAGGTAACCTCTGTGAGTGCTGAGAAAAAATAATGTGACTCCCTGTAAGTGAAAATGCCAACTCGACTTTATTTGACTTACTTGGCTCTGCCACCTTTATCCTGCTGTCATCCTCTTCCAACATGACATCATCATAAATGACCAGCAGCAAGCATCCACTGTGCATCCTCTGCACTCAGATCTCACTTGCCAAGCAAGGATGTTCATCAGTTGAATGCTTGTCTAGTGTGAGACCTTGGGTTTCATCTCCAGTACCACAAAAATAATAATAATAATTGAATAAAATGGCAATGCTGATTATATCTAAAATCTCACCTGTCTCTTTTCATTAGATCATTGTGTTTATTAAACCACATTTTGCCTTCTTCAGAAACCAGTTAAATTGGATCTGTTCAGGGCCAGGGAGATGGCTCAGTGGAATTAGCACTTCCCTGGCAAGTGCAAGGGCCTGAGTTCAATCCCCGGTTCTGAAGAAAAAAAAAAAAAAAGGATCTGTTCATGATCTCAGACTCTTAGTATTGATCTAATAATTGCATATTCTTAAGTTGGTATCTGATTGTTGCACTATATTGTTAATTACTCGAAGTCCAGGTCAACTATTTCTATTTTATCTTTGTAACTTTCAGAATAATTAAATGCTCCTGATCCTGAGAAGCACTAGTAAGACATTAGCATCAACCCACGATGAATAGTGGAAAAAGAAAACACAACCCACCTGCCAGTGGCAACTCTGAATTACCAAAGAAGGATTTACAAATATCACCTAGTATATGAAAGATAACCTATTTCTGCACAATTTTTTGCAGTGCTGCAATTAGATCATTTATTTTCAAATAGCGCTTTTTGTTTTTCTAAGTACAGAAGTGAGTACACATGCAGTATAGAATATTTTTTTTAGCAGTGGCAAAGTTTACTCAAGAATGTAAAAGTAAGAGTAGGAGAGAAACTGGCTCTGCAACACTGCTTGGGCCGAGTAAATGGAAGAAGGGTGAGAGTGAAGGTGAAAGTACACGCTGTGCCTGGGAAGCCACACGGGCCACTGTGGAGAGATGCAGTACCTCAGAAATTCTGATGAATACAGAAAAACCAAGTTAAATCATCTATCCTCTTTCTTACATTAGCAAAGCTTCCACTTTCACTTGTAGAAGATACCTATTGTCTCTTTCTTTATAAGAAGATGTGTTTTCCCTGCCTTCTCAATCTTTTTGTGGTATCTAAAGCTGAACTCTGTCCTTAACTAATACTCTCATTGGTACAGTTTACAATTTTAGGGTGGGGCCCATTGGCCTCCGCTTAATCTTCAATTTGCTTTAGCTTTTATTTGCCCCTCCTCGCCATGTCTCTGGAATGCCAGATCACCAATTCTTGGTTAACCTTGGTGAATTGGTTCTTCCAGTACTTTCACTCTATGGAAGTAAATGCTGGAAGCTAAGATCACATCTATAACCCCTGTCTTCATTTCTGGCTTTTCTTCTATATTCTGTTATGTTCATTGATGTCTCTTTAAGGCAGCAGTTTTTGGCCATATCTGTCTAAAGCTATGCTTTTTGTTTGGGGGTGGGAATGTTATTAAAATGTGTGGAAATTTTAATCTGATAGTATACTACTCTACATTTAAACTTGATCCACACACTGACAGTGAGACATATCTTCCACTTCAAACCCCATCTTATCAAGACAGAAGCCCTTAAGAAAGAGAAAAAAAAAGAGCTGTCTTCATGTTTGTCAACAGGGAAGTTGAAAGAGTGAATCACCAAGCTCAGATTTTGCTTGTGCCCTCTGAGTTCTAATTGTTAGTCTCAGAACCAACCTTAATGATTAGCCTCCCATCACTTTAATCTGTATTTAGGTATCATCATCTTTTGTTTTCTGATATGGAGGGTCTTATGTAGTACAGGCTGGCCTCAAACCTGTGCCCCTCTCACCTTAGCTTCAGAAATGGCAGGATCACAGGCATGGACCATAGCACGTGATAGTAATAGTCCTTCTTGTATGTAGTCAAAGCTCATACTAAACAGTGAGTTCTGGGTTGCAAAAGAGGGTTTATTTTTTGCACTTGTCCATAAGTAGCAAAGCATTTTAGTCAACATCTTATACATACAAATTTATACATCCCCATTTCTGCAATATTTTTCTTCAGGTGTATTGCTTAATGCAAACTAAAAGTCCCATGACTAGGATGTCCATTTTGCTGATCATAGTGTATAGGTCCCCATGGTCTACCATAACCAAATGCCATGGCCTGAGTGGCTAAAACAAGAGAAATTTATTTTGGAATAATTCTGGAAGCTGGAACTCCAAACTCACAATGCTGGCAGGGTTGGCCTCTGGCAAGGCCTTCTCCCACCTTTATATTTGATTTCCTAAATGCCTACCTTTTCCTTCAGTATTGAAGGGTATCATTTATAAAATGATATTTGATATGGAGTTATATGATCCATTATAAAATTCTCCCTAATTAATGATTAGGCTAGAGGGCCAGCCAGCTAGCTCAGCAAATTAAAGCACCTGCTTAGGCAGATACAGGGGCCAGGGGTTCAATCCCCAGACTGTCATGCCGGCCCCACCCCCAGGGTATGCTGAGATGGTGATTGAGACTAGGTGTGGTGGCATGCACCTGTAATCCCAGTGTTTGGGAGGCTGAAAAACAGGAGGATCACTATGAGTCTGATCTGTGTAGTAAGACCCTGTAGACCTTGTACCAAATGCTTAAAAAAAATTTTTTTAATTATTAAGCTATTTGATTGGTCTCAAGTGTTATAAATACTCATATTTTCAGCATAATGGTATTTTAGAATTTTGAATGTTTTCTCTATTACTGAAATTCCAGGAATATGTCTATTACAGAATTCAAATTTAAGGGCTGGGGAGGAAGCTTAGTGGTAGCACACCTGCCTAGTATATGTAAAGTCCTAAATTCAATCTCTAGCACCAAAAAAAAAAAAAAAAAAAAAAAAATTAAGAAAATACACATGAAGTTTGGCCAAATAGCTCAGCAGATTAAAGTGCCTGCTTAGGCAGATGCAGGGGCCTGGAATGCGATCCCCTCGCCTGCAGTACCAGCCCTGCCTCCAAGGCACTGTGAGATGGCAATTGAGACTAGGTGTTATGGTGTGCGCCTGTAATTCCAGCACTTGGGAGGCGGTAAACAGGAGGATCACTATGAGTCCAGTCTATGCAGTGAGACCCTATAGACTCTTCCCTAAAATAGAAAGAAAGAAAGAAAGAAAGAAAGAAAGAAAGAAAGAAAGAAAGAAAGCAAGCAAGCAAGCAAGCAAGCAAGCAAGCAAGCAAGCGCGCACAGAACTTGCTTGGTTTTAGTATTAATTGAATATTCTTATTTAGTTGGCTTTTGTTTTTTATTTTGGGGTTTTTTGGTATGTGTTTTTGCTTTGAGACAGTGTCACACAGTTTAGGCCTTGAACTCACTGTAATACTCAGACTGGCCTCAAACCCAGCACTACCACATTCAGCTGAATAGTCTTACCTAAATGAAACTATAAGAAAATAAAATTGATGTATCAGAGTGAGATTTGAAATAAAATTAACTTTTAGATTTCATCTAAAAAAATGTCTTCTACTTTAGAATGTTTTGAGATTACCACACCCTTGTGCTTCATTTTTTAAGCTACAAAATCTAGCATATATTTGGATTGAAATAGAGATGATTTGAAAGAAGAATTAAGTAGTCATGCCAGGCATGATAGTGCTACACATCTGTAATGCCAGCAGTGTGGAGGATAACTATGAGTCCAATAGTGCTTCATAGTCAGGAGGATCATTACAAGTTCAAAGCCAGCCTAGACTACATATTGAACTACACAGCAAGACTTTATAAAAGAAAAAAAAAAAATTCAATAGGTAATCACATGATTTTCCAATGGTGACTCAGTGAAGCCTAGTGGAATTCAGTTCAAAACTGTTACTCCAATTACTATTCAGTGTTCAGTCTGCCATAACAAAAAAGTATAGTCTGGATCAGTGAAACAAAAGACATTCGCTTTCTCACAGGCCTGAAGACTAAAAGTCCAACATTCTAACCAACTCATTCTGAGGGAGTTTTTATTTAGTTTTTGTGAGTTAGGGTCTCACTATGTAGAGCAGGCTGGTCTTGAACTTGTTTATGTAGCTCAGGCTGGCCTTGAACTCATGCCTCCTGCCTCAGCGTGCTGAGTGCTGGAATTATAGGCCCAACTCAGTTTTTGATTTAACCTGCTTCTGGATTTGGTCAGTCCCAGCATTGAGTCATGGTGAACTGGGCAGGAAGACATTCTGTGGTTTAGGGCAGATATTCTCTGAAGCATTTCTGTTCCTCCGCAGTTGGTGGTTGGTGCAGTGGAGATGCCATTTCCAGTGTTGAGCGATATGATCCACAAACCAATGAATGGCGAATGGTAGCTTCCATGAGCAAAAGACGGTGTGGCGTTGGGGTCAGTGTTCTTGATGACCTATTATATGCAGTAGGAGGCCATGATGGATCCTCTTATCTCAATAGTGTTGAAAGGTAAGGTCAATTTGAAATTTTTTCTCTACTGTTCCTATGGTTTCACTTGAGATGTTAATGGGAAACGTAATATTTTTAATATTGTGTGTGTGTGTCACATCAGTTGGCATCTTAGGTCACTTAGCATGATGTACAGATCTTCTGTGATCTGACATGTACCTATTTTTCTAGTCTCACGTTGGGCACCACCATTCCATGCTGCCTTAGACTCAACATATTGTTTGCAATTCTTTGGACATGCTCTCTTCCTTCATATCCTTTTCTTTTTTTTTCTTTCCTCATTTGGTACAGGGTCTCACTACGCAGCTCGGACTCGTAGTGATCCTCCTGTTTTCAGCCTCCCCAGCATAGTCCACACGTGCACCACCACGCCTGGACTCAGTCACCGACTCAGCACGCCCCAGGGGTGGGGCTGGCACAGCATGTGGGACTGGGGATCGAAACCTGGTCCCTGTGCTTGCCAAAGAAGACTAAACCTAGGGGCCAGGGAGATGGCTCAGTGGAATAAGCGCTTCCCTAGCAAGCTCAAGGGTCTGAGTTCAATCCCCGGTTCCAACAACAAAAAAAAAAAAAAAGAAGACATTTAGTCTGCTGAGCTATCTCACTGTCCCATTACCCCTTTTCTCTGTGTGTGTGTGTGTGTGTGTGTATACTGTTCTCTCCTGAAATATTTCTGCTCCTTTAAGACCCAAAATGTTACTTCCTCCATAAAGCCTTCTCTGGCTGGAGAGATGAGTTACTCATTCCTCTGCCCTTTTGAACTTACTCCTCTGCCCTCTGCCCTTTGTATTCTGAATGTGCTGCTACATAGTCCATTGTAATGTTTGCTTATGTTTTCTCCCCAAGTGTCTTATCACAGTGCTTGAAACATTGGAAACCTACAGTGACTGGCATTTTAATGGCTTCTTTTTCTCACACACACTTTTTCATTCAGTTGTGTTGATTTACAATGATTCTTTCACTGTGGCCAGCCCTGTGCCATATCAATTTCTAGATACATAGAATAGCTGGGAGAAAAAGAAGAAAAAAAGGATCAGTTCCATAAAGAGGGGAAGAGAAGGGTTCAGCATGGAAGAACTTAAACTGAATCAGAGTACAGTGCACCTAAGGTGATTCAGAGGCTAGTGTATATGAATGTTAACTTATATGTTTGTATATAACATACGCATTGAAAAATGAGCCAGGCGTGATGGCTCACGCCTGTAATCTCAGCACTCTGGAGACTGAGGCAGAAGAATCATTGCAAGGTCATGGCCACTGTGGGCTACATGGTGAGTTCAAGGCCAGCCTGAACTACAAAGCAAGATCTTATCTCAAAAAAAAGATGAAAAATGACAAAAAGATGAAAAATGACAAAATTGACTCAGCAGTTTTTATACATTTTTTGTTGTTGTTGTTGTTTGTATTGTTGGGAATTGAAGCAAAAGCTTTCTGCAAGCTAGGTGAGCACTCTACCCCTGAACTACACTCTCAGCCTGACAAGAATTATTATTAATAGCAAAATATCAGAACACCCCAAGGTTATAGCAATAGGAATATGAATAATGGATGGCACATACAATATAATAAAAAGGAAGGGGTTGTACTGGCATAAATAGGTCTCCAAAATATAGTGAAAGGAAAAAGTGCTGTGGAGTTCTATTTATGTAAAGAAAACATGTATATATACAGAAATATGTATGTGGGTCCATCACATTTAGCTATTTAAGAATATTTTTTACTGAAAAGTCCTGAAGGATGTATTCCAAATTGAAATAGGAAGGGATCAGAATTCAGGTCAATTTAACATGGACTTTAGCTTACTCAATGACATTCTTATTTCTTTAGAAAGAAAATATGTAATATAAGTAAAAATGAATGTCAAAAAATAAAAATACACTTTTTTATATTTCAGTTATTAACCCATAATTTGGGGAAGGAGTATAGACCACATAGATCCTTAGATTTGAAATATTTAAGTATAGCCAAGCTTCGAGACATAGTACCGACTCTGTTCTTGCTGTATTCTTTGCAGATATGACCCCAAAACAAACCAATGGAGCAGTGACGTGGCCCCCACAAGCACCTGCAGGACAAGTGTTGGTGTGGCCGTGCTCGGTGGCTTTCTGTATGCAGTGGGGGGCCAAGACGGTGTGTCTTGCCTCAATATTGTTGAGAGGTGATTTTTTAAAAATCATTTTTAGGTTTTCTTGTTTATTTAAAAAAAAAAAGACACAGGGCTCTACAAAAGAAACAATTACAGCTAAGTTTAAGACACTGGGGGGTCCACTATTTAGTAGATTCCCCTGTAGGCTTTTAGGGAAACAGCTTTTAATTTTAAAAATCTAGATAGATGAAAGATATAAAGAATATATTTTAGTTAATTTTTATCTGCTTTGTTTTTCTTTAACACGTTAATTACACAGATTAATTGGTTTCACTGTGACATTCCCTTATATACATATACTTTGTAATTTATATACATTTATGGTGAATCATATATTTTGAAGTATGTCTGCCTTGTACAATGACTAAGTCAAGCTAATTCATGTATACTACTTCACATGCCATTTCTGTGGTGAATATATTTAAACTGTATTTTCATAGAAATTTTCAAGT